CCAAAAAACACATCTAGGAATTAAAGATGGCCCCTAATGAACAGACAAAGGGAGTAAAAAAGTAGAAGCCTTTGCAGCCATAAAAGTAGAGTTCAAAATATCCCTCTTACAAAATATTTCCTGAAAATAGGCTGGTGGAGCACAAAAGTCAGTTCTGGAAACTCTAGAACTATGAAAGCAAGTCCAGTAGTCGGCACTTTCAAAAATAAATAAAACCATCAGGCAACAACTGTATGCTAATTGCATTTAAGAAATAAGAGACCACCTACATAGAAATAAAATAAATCTCATTAGTGGAGCTAAAGCAGATAGTTGCAATTCAGACTCTGTTAACCCAATTCCTTAGGCTCACTTGAAAGAGCTTACAAAATCACTGCCATTGTCGTAGTGATAGAGCAGAGGTATAAAATGGGCACCAGCATCTCAAGGCCCCTAACTCAACTGTGCTGCAGCAGTTCAGGTGCATTTCTTGGCATAGTTGTGCCCTCACTTTCAGAGGATACAACCAGATTTTTCTTGCTGAATGAGCCCAGCTAAGACAGGGAGAAAGAAGGTCCCCAAGGGCAGGTTGTATGCAAGAGGCTGCTAGTTTAGTATAATACTAAGAAATCCCATAAATTATTACATTTTTCTGTCAGTAAAATCTTATGTCTTTAACCATTTATTTTGTTTTGCCAAAAAATCAGCTTTGTGAAAGCAAAACCCTGAAATCTCATAATCAGGAAAGTTAAATATTTTTATGAATTTCAGACAAGACAATAAATTTTGGAGTTTTTCAACAACAATAGCAAGAGGCCTGTAAGTCTGTCTCTTGAAGCAGCTTACACTAGCCATGCTATTCCCTCTAGAGGAAGTATTGAAAAGCATTTGCAACAGTGCCCCCCTGTCTCCCTGCTGGCCATCATCAGGTTATAGATCTTCAGAAACAAAAGCTGCCCAGGCCTCCTCTCACTCTCTCAAATGGTCTTCTGAATAGAAAAAAAACCCAACATCTTGAGGCTTTTGAAAGCTCATCATCTGTTCTGCTGCTGATATAGTTGGATTTGCTGTAGAAAGAATTGCCCAGGAATTTAACTGGATATATTCTTAGGGTCAAAGCCTGACCATAACTAACTTTAAAAACAGCACAATAGGTATTATTTCCTTGATCTTTAACCCTTTGTCTTCAAATGTTTCCATTCATAGTTAGTATGTGGCTCTGATTAAGTTTGTGATTCAACTGTGGAGCTTTTATTTTATCTGACAGAAGTTCTGTAAATCCTTGCTAGACTCTTTTGGTTCTGATTTTAGCTCCTGTTTTCTGTTAGACTTTTAAATTCAACTATGAAAGTTGGAGCTTTATGTTTCTGACATAAAATTAGGTTCAGACGTTCATAAAAAAATATTATTTGTGCAGCTGATATTGCTGCTTAAAAGCAGCTCACTGAATTCTTCCTCAAGGATAGGGTCTTCTGGTAAAACCATTGTCTTAATTCTTCTCTAGACAGGAAGGCAAGTTACAAGAAAGGATGTTCACTGGGGGAAAGCTAATAGAAAACTCTGCAGCATTTAATCAGAACAATTTAATTCTGTTGATAATTGATCAATAGAAACACAATTAAAAAACCCTGCTCCAAGTCAGAACAGCTTAGCCAACAGAAATAAATATATATTTTTTTCACATGAGGGACAGGTAAGAAATGAGAAAATGTAGAACAATATGAATAAAGCCCTCCATTAGATAAAATCTGGAAAAAAAAAAAAAATAAGGCCTTTAATAATAATCCTCAGGAACTGCTGTAAGAGTTTCATACAAACCTGCTTCAGTGTCCCTTGAAGAATTAATCTGGATTTAAAAAAAAAAACAACCCACACATCTGGCTTGATCATTGGCTAATAGAGCATATTTTTATTCCCACCCCAAATCACACACAGCTTGTCTGGAAAGAAGACAGCTGCTTGGGCACTAGTGTGTTTCAGTTCGAAGTACATCTAATCTTTATTGAGTTATTTGAGCCTCATGTGCCAAGTGCAGAAAGGCATGCTTTTGTGGGGAGAGGAATTTTTTTTTTTCCTTTTTAATATTAATGTGTAATTTTGGCCAACAAAGTAGTGCTTAGGAGACAATAGCAATTCTCGAAATGCATTAGACTTAAAATCCAATAAATATACCAAATGTTTTTGTATAAATCTTCATCCAGTTTGTTGCTTCTGCAGGAACCACTGCTGTTGGAAATCAGTCTCAAACATTTTATTGGTCAGTTAATTCTGAAAGCTTCTTAGTGTTTTCTCATCTGATTAGCTTCAACATCTTTTACTTCTCTGCAGATTTGCCATTAGTAAGTCTTACACATATGATGAATTTGGCATGAGTGCCTTAACTACATGTGAGATTTTGAGCACGTCAGTTTTATGTGCAATCTCTCACTACATGTTATTCTACCAAGTGAACTGTTTGGTAGGGAGTATGGGCTGGGGCAAATCCACATTCTGCTGAACTCAGTGACCAAATCTGCAGTCTTCAAAGGCTCCAGAAAATGGTCATCTACAGGTTTCACTGGCAAAACAATCATAGCTGACCTGAGGAAAAAAAAAAAATCTGCCCAGGAATCAGCAGTTTCCAATATATCAGTTACAGCTTGGTCCTACTACCTTAGACTGAGTATTGCAGTCCCACTGAAGTATGGGATTACAGAGGAGGTCAGTGCTGCCCACCATCAGCACTGCGGCAGATTCTGTCTCCTGGTAAACACAGTACTGTTATCAGAGGCTGTGATGTGGTATCTTGCAGAATCTCATAGTTAAATACTTTTGACTCAAGTCCAAAAGCAGAAGGCAGAGTGTAAGAGATAAGATCAAGACTAGAATTAATCTTTTGTCTCTATTTTATGGGATATTGAATCTCAGAAGAGCATTCAATGAAAAAACTAGCTAAATTGAAGAGCTGAGGTAGGACAGATGTGACAGCTATATTGCTTGGCAGCGCTTTCTCTGCCAATCCTGCGTGTGCTGGGAAAATCTGTCAAACAAACCTGTATCACAGGGAGCAATTTTCAGTTAGTTTTACATTCCCTGTTGTACCCCTTTCTGCATTGTGAACTAGTTTCTTATCAATACCTAGTCTTCCATCTCAAAATTAGCATTTAAAATACAATTTTATACGCTGCATGCTTCACCGGTTCTGTGGCATTAAGCCTTACCAGTCTGGTTTTCATGCTATTGTTACTCTGCAGTATAAATCCTTTTGTAGAGTTCATTTTTCTTGATGAAGTATATAATGACAAGAATTGGAAAGCACTACTTCAATCCTGCCCTTAACAGCTATGATTTGCAAAGTATCTTTTTTTAGAACAAGATAGCTCTTGTGACTGTTGTTCTGGGTGTATCTTTGTTTAACTATGTCTGATGGGATTTAGCACACAAACTTTGCAGTTAGCTGAAAATACAAATCTTTCACTTGACTGAAACTGTAGCACAGCAGTTGCTCCAACATATCAAGATGTTATTGAAGAGACACATGGACTCAGAGAGGAATTTCAGAGGGATTATATTGAGTAAGTACACAGCAGTTACTAAAACAAAAGTTGGCATTCAGATCATATTAACTAGAAACTAATATTCTTGAAGATGTTATGTAAGTAATTGCTATACATTAGGTTGCCATATGTACATGTCTGTGCGTGTGCGTGCTGTGTCCAAGAGAGCAAATGTCAAACATACAGTCATGATATCCTCTCATCAACTGAATGGTAAAATTACTCTCATTCTATTTCGGAGCATGAGCATGCTCCTACATACAAGATACAAAGTCAGCAAATAGTGATGAAGACATACCTGTCAATGGGATTAAGATAATACAGAGTATTAATATGAGTATTAATATAGCACCAGGCAATGCTGCTGCACTTCGACGTCTAACAGTATCTCCATTCCAAATCCTCTTTGGAAAGGTTTAGAACCCATTTACTGCACAGAAAGGTTAAACTCATGATTGACTGAATTACAGTCAGGCATTATAAAATCCCATTCTGCTGATAATCATAACTCATGCTAACAGGATAAATCACCTCTGCATATATTCTGACATTAAATTCTGTTAGTTTTCCAAATATATATATATACACACACATATATGTAGGGGTGTGTGTGTATATATACCAATTAGCATTATTTTAGCTACAGAAGAGATTTGGAAAACAGTCAGAAGAAGCTATTAAAAATACAGATCTCGAAAGCCTTCCTTAGGAAATATGCTTAAGAGTTGCTGTTTTATACACAGAAATTTTCATCCAAACCAAATCTTCTTGCTTTATTGTTAGGAATACTACTAATATCCTTGTTGCTTACCTTATACATTGTTGGTATATCATTCTCATGCTCTGATTATTGGGGATTTTTACCATTATGTAGAAAAATGTCTTCCAAGGTTTAAAAAGCAAACAAAAAGCCCCCAAAACACAGATTCATTCATTTTTTTTGTTTGTTTAAAAACAAAAACTTCCTATTAATAGTCAGTAAATAAAAATGCCTGAGTGCCATTTTTATGTATATAGCTTGAATACTGTAAATCTTTCAGTGAAAGTTACGTCCTAATTTTATTTGCAGATTTTAGCAAAAGTATGGGAAAGACATTGAAGCAACAAAAAAGAAAAGGAAAGAAATTAATCAGAAGTTTAGAACATTTGGTTTTATTCTTTTATACTGTGCCAGTTTTCTGTTTTTCTATTCTTTGTTTATGAGAATATAATTTATAAGATTCATTGACAGAAAACTTTTGAAATGTACTGCAGCCCAAAAACTTGCCTGCATGTTTTTGGTAGGATTCCATGACTTTGTGTGTTATGCTCAACTTAAAAAGCAGGAAAAAACCCTAATATATCTTTATTCAGCTCATACACTGATTAGTACTTCCATGAATCCAGCTGAACTAAAGTTCAATGCAAACATATTAATGAAAGGATTGGTATGTACTGGGTTGTACTCAATTTTTATGACAGAATAAGAAACAGGAACTCACAGAATTAAACTGAGAATTATATTTAATAAGGCAGTCAGTAACAAAGCCATGGCATTATTTTCTTTAAAATCTCTAAGGTTATCCTGGAGATTCTTGAAGATGTTTTCCTAGTGTTGTTTGATTTTTGGAGTCCTACGTTTACAGGTTTTGTTGAATGTACAACGTATCTGCAGTGCATTACAAATGGGTTACAAGATATTAAATTTCCATAAATAGTAACAGTGAATGCTTTTAGACTAAACCTTTCTATAATTCTGCCTCTTAACTCTCTCCCTGATCCCTTGCTTTCTTCTTCTCACATGCATCCTTTTAACTGTCCTCCCTCCAAATCCTCTTTTCATCTCTCCCCATCACACCTAGACCCCATCCTTCTTCCTCTCAAGTACTTGATTTTCTTAACCTACAGCACTCTCTGTTCTACTTTTCCTGGTTGTCAGAAAACAGAAAACTCTAGTACTACCATTATATGTCCCCTCTGAGGTTCCTGAAAAGATCTGGCAGCTTGCGTTGGCTGTTGTTCATCTGCTGTGTTCAAATTTGGCAGAGTCCTCTCACAGAATTAGTAGCCTCTATGAATTTGGTTTTGGCCTGAATTAACATGGGTAATGTACAGAGGATCTCTTCTGAGAGATCTCTAATTTGACGCAGACTTCTGGATGTGAACTTTGCTTAGCATCACAAAAATGTGCACAAATCTTGCTCTGTCTTTTATGGCTACAAGGGTTATGACACTAGCAAAACTTGAGTTTTCATTGTACATATCAGACAGGTGGAAGTTTTTGTTCTGTGAGAGAAAGGGCACAGGAACCTAATCTTCCACTTAGAAGCAGGGTTAGGGCATCTTTGAGGTATCTTGACGTACAGTTGCCATTCTGCAATTGCAGTCATTTCTCCCACTGAGGAGATGGGTTATGAATTGCAGATGCTGTACTTCCAATGCACTGCAGTTACAACCTTGAGATTGTCAGGAGTGTAAAGTGGGAGTGAGATAGGAGTTTGTCAATAATATGTCAATGACACTTACTCTTGGTCTTACCTATTTACTTTTGCTTAGTACAACAGAGTGAATTATTTCCTTAATTATTCCTTACAGATTTTAATTGCTTTTTTAGGTGGTCAGTGGATTATATTTAATCCTTTTTAATAGTTTTGCATAAAAATGCAAATGTTCTACCTTGTAAAAGTGTAGCTATGATTCAGCAATTAGAATATGGTGTTTGGATAACTCAGAACCAAACTTTGCTTCATTATTTGTTCACTCACTTAGGGGAGTATCTTGCCATATTGTACAGCTCACAGCTTTCATTTTTGTCAAAACTTTCATAACAAGTCACCCTTGCACAGATACATAAGAAATGTAGCTAGAAGGAAAGTTTTCCTGCTTAACATAATGTATTCCTAATATTTTATTCGGCCTGCAGGTGCTCCTCCAATATTACCATTAATTACAGCAGTAATAATCCTATTTGAGGAGAGTATAAAACTTCTAACATTTAGCAATGTCCTTTCAATTTTTTGAATGCTTCAGTTTAATCTTCCATTTTTACAGGACACTCTAAACAAAAGAATATCCAGCACTTAAAGAGGATAAGCACTGAATAGCCCTGCAAACATTGCAATGTTCCTACCCTACAATGAAATAGCTCTTCTTCCACCTGGTCTTACTTTTATGACAGTAAATGGAAAAGAAGAGAGATCCGCTGTCACCAAGTATCATCTTTATTTCAGTTTCAATTTTCCTTATCGATAGCTTTTTGTAAATCGGTGTTTATACTGAAAGATATTTTTAGTATGAAAAAAAAAAATTATAATCTAAGAGTTTTCTTTTAATTGCTTCTTCAGAAATATATTTTGATAATAGCAACTACTCATTACAATAAAAAACAGACAAGGCATTAATTTACTGTGGCATGGGAAGTACTGCCAGTTCTAAATGCCCTACATAGCTTCTTTAAAAATTTTATGTTCTTTAGGCCTCAACAAAAACCAAAGCTCCTCTTCCAGGTTTGGTAGCAAACAGACTATTATTCTCCAATGCTAACTTTTGGACGTCAGTTTGGTAATAAGCTTTTTTAACATTTTTTAGGAAAGTGTTCAGCTTGTCAGTAGGCACCATTGACACAGTGCAGCCACCCCATCCAGCTCCAGTCAGACGTGACCCGATGGCCCCAAACTGCCTAAAACAAAATAGCAGAAAAAAATCATGTAAATAAACCAAAAAGGGGTAATTTTTCATATACAAAATTCCTATAGAAAATTAGTGAATACTTTACTCAAAACACAGCTATGCCATCTGATTTTTCTGGCGTTCACTTGGTTGTATGCAGCATTACAGCAATTTACAGTTACCATTTTGGACAAAAAAAATATGCTGATGCTTTAAACTGCAGTGTAGTCATTTCTGTCAATTCCAAAAGTCACCCTCTTTTATAATGCTTCAGCATCAGCCGTTTTAAGGATCACAGCACAGCTGAGATGAAGAAAGCAGGAGAAGAAAGGAATTGTGTTAGCAACATTCATAAGACATCAGAAGTGAAAACAGAAATACATGACAAAAATAACAAAAGAGGGTTCATAAACTAATTGCACAGGATGTAGGCATGCAAGCCATTTTCTAATGTGGCAAAGACAAATAGCTCTATTCTTCCAGGACAGATCTAAAACACGCTGAAGATTCACAGGCTTCTGCAGGACTGCTGAGCGTGCCTGTCAAAAAAAGGAGAGTTCAGAAACTCTTAAAAAGTCATACAGAGTCATTGCACTCAAACATCTGTTTAAGCTGAATGGACAGAGTTGGGTATCTCTCTAGAGGAACTTCATGAACGTAACAGATTTACAGCAGTAGAGGTAGAATTCAGTCCCGAAAGAAAAAAAATGCTCTTAATAAAGAGGATGAATAGAAAGAACAATGACAAATAAATGACATTCAAAATATAAACCATTCCCAGACTCAAGATACTGGCCTGCTAGCAATGTCCTACAGCAAATCCCATGCCATTAATCTGCAAGATTCAGATGCCATCTCATTAGAATTTAGTAGAATTATTTTCATTAGTTGGCTTACCTGTGTTCCTGACCATTAATTAGATTCATTAAAAGTAGGAAAATACCATGGAATAAACTTCTTTGGGGCTTTTCTAAACCTAGTCAGAACAGAGTGATTTAGAAAATGCATTTGGAATCTTATTCTCATGAGAGATCTAATCTGATTTGCAAACAAATACTCTTGATGTTTCCAATAGCCATGCATGGAGAGATTTACCAGTCTTAGAATGTGTTTGAGGGAGAAACAGCATCATGCGAGTAACATTGGAAAATGACAGCTCATTCTGAGGAGGATGTGGTAATTTTTCATATGTGCATTTTATGTTAAATGAATCTGGTATACTGCTGGGTTAGCAGAGCTTTCGGTCATATTTCAAGCAAGTACTTACATATGTGTTTGATTCTAAACACGCTTACATCTCTTCTTGAACAGAAACACTTTCTTCAGTGTGTCTGCATGGTGCCACCCTTCATATTGACTCGATTTTATGTTCATTTTTTATTTCCTGTTGGTGTTTTATTTTACTTATTATTATTATTATTCCTGTAAACCACTCATTCTCTGATGCAATTCTTGTTGTTTCTGGTCTATGGAACAACCTCCTAAAATGAGCAGGATCCAATCCAGTCTCAACTGCAATCAATAGGGAACTTCCCATCGAATTCATAAAGCCCAATCCACTTTTCAGTCTGCTAAATCAACTGTCTGTACTCATTTGGTCTGTTACCTCCGTCAGAACTTTGTATTTCAGACGGTGTCTGGCTTTTATTCTGGTAGGCAACTAAAATCCCTTCAGAATTGTTCTGAACCTTTTAGTGATTTCATAATTCTCTGTGGTCATGCTCATGCCTCATTTTTACTGAGTCATTTTAAAATACTTAGTTGAAATAAAGCATAATGTAGACAGAAAATATGCCTGTTTCAGAGCTGAAGTCACTGTGTTTCAAAATACTGTGGCTAACAGTTTCAAATGTGGTGATACGATTACACACTTGGGGCTTAATGCTGAGGAACTTGGCATTTTGATGGGCAGTGCTGAAAACTAGGTACCTGATAGTACATGAATTCAGAAGTGAGCACCTAATTCCACATCTACTGGAGATGTGGTGCATGGGAGGTATCTAGATCAAACATGAGAAAGTTAACTTTGGAACAGGTCTGAAACTTTCTTTTTCGAGTCTTAATCAGTTCAGTCCTAAGTCAGACTCCTCTGGTAAAGTGGGATAGATAGCCAGACACTCTCTTCTTGTGCACTGGCGTCGAAATCGTGCATTTATGAAGAGGAGTATGAGCCAAACAATAATCTTGTGGATGGAGCGCTCACCCACACAGCGGGTGATGTGTATTTAACGTGTGGGAAAGTGCCCTGTGCACCGCCTGGGCTGTGCTGCAGCCGTGAGCGTGAGGGCGAGATGGGGGCACACAAGAAAGAGAACTCGCCCATAGCCCAGTGCTGGGGGCACTCAGCTCCCAGGCCCGGGTCCTGGCCTTTGCTTCTTGAAAGCAAGAAGCTTTATATATCTGGTTCCAGTATTCACTGGATAAGAAGAGAATTATGAGGAAGGGGCTGTGTGTGTAAATGGGAGTAAAAACATGAGTACTGCAGCAAAGACAAATAGAAATGGAAGTCCAATAGTGAAGTATATGGAAGCCATAGGTAAGACACTGCAATACCTCATTTTAAAAATAATTGTGCTGTAAGAGGTGAAAAAATCGGAGCTATGTTGTTAATTATAATTACTCAAAATTATGAACCAGATATTCAGAAAGCATGGACTTAACATGATGAGATTTAAATACATAAATTGGGGAGGTGGGGGAGGTGGTGGTGGTGGTATAGTTATACTTATTCCATTTTGTAGCTTAGTGTGCATTTGAATATCTTTAAGCCTTTTTGGCTCTGGAAGAGCTACAAACTTCTTTTTGTAGGGTGATTTTTGGTGATTCTGTTGAATTTTCAAATTGTGACATGGCTCCAGGCTTTGCAGCTTTGAGTAAATCATCAGTGATAAAAGTTTTGATAAAATGTAGAGTTGTCTTGGCTACTATAATACACCTGGATGTAATGTAAAAACCATATCTTCTAAAAGTGATCAGAGAGAATTCGGCTATCTTCAACTGTAAGGGGCATGTCTGGTAACACAAAAATTATCAGGATTTATACCACTAGAATATGGAGAGTGAGGGAGTGAACAGAGCAACACTCAAGGATTCTGAGAGATTTTAAAAAACACAAAATGAGTTCAGGAGCTCAGATCAAATTTTTTGTTCCTTAATTGTTTAGTAAATCTTCTGTGTTACTTTAAAAGACTAACAGGTAAACAGCTATTAACAGCATGAGATAGGTTAGAGAAAGTACGAGCCTTCTGTCTTTGCAAAAGGAAAAAAAAAAAAAACTGACCAACTAGTGGTTACAGTTTTCAGCACTACAAACCACAGCAAGTATGGATCCCTTTCTTTCTTGGCAGAGATTGTACACTAAAACATAAAGATCTAGGCAAAACAGAAAACATCTGGATATGCAGATTATTCTTCACAGTTTAAACCTTGTAAGGAGAGAGCAGCAGTAGACTCGGGCAATTCTGTGGAATGTATTTTTGGAAAGGCTTTTTAAAGTTACAGGGCAGCTGTATACCATTGTAAGTAAAGAATGTAATTTATGAAGTTCCTGGCCATTTCTATAATCACATCAGCCCAGTTTTCCTCAAGTGACTAGTGATTTTATGTCCCTTATTTTTTTCATGTACAACTTGAGAAAAGTTAAGACTTTTTTTCCAATAGTTTCCAAAAATTAGATGCTGGCTTAAGCTGCATTCATTTAGAATAGCTATACACTTTTAGAAAACTAAGCACAGAATCAGAAAAAAAAAAAAAAAAAAATTAAAGACTATTAAAGTTCTAAAGAAGAAAGATACATTTCTTAGGAAGCACTTCTGATGGTACAAGACTGTAAAGAATAATCAACAAATAATTTACTTGTTTCTGTGCAATTAATGTAATAAAAAAAAAACAGATTAAATATGTTTAATATACCAATCAGAAATCGTTTCACACGAATGGTACTCCACTGTGGTGCTTAGCTATGCTCATCATACTAGCTGTGGGCTCTTCTGGTGGTAAGTTAGAAACCTGATGTAACATGGGCACACACATCATTTTCTTCCTTCACTTCCTTTTTCAGTCCCTGGAACTGAAAAGCTCTAACTAACTTAATTTAGTAAAATACTAACGGCGTACTCCTTTCCTTTGGGTTCTCTGGTGGTGTCCATGCTACACTGCCTGCAAGTTAATGTCATGATACCCAAGCTAGCTCAGAGCAGCAGCTGTCTAGCTGTGAAAGCACAGGGCTCAACATAAATGAGAAACAGAGAATTTCCATCCCCATGCTGAGCTTCATGCTGCAAAAGCCTCTTGCTGGCATCCATACTAGCTTATTTAAATGTAGCACATATAACTCCATGCCACAGTGCAGATCTTAGCAGTTTATACCTACTTGTTTTCCCCTACCTGAAAGTTGTCTCCCAGCATTTCTGGGAATAGGCCCTATTGGTATGATTCAAGCTGGACACCTTAAGTGAAGACACTCAAAATGGTGAGTGACTTTTGCCAGTTCAGTCATCAGATGTTATTGACTGAGGCATCAACATTGGGTAGTTACTGTACCTAAAAATAACACAGGTGTTAAGTTTCAAGGCTTGTCCTGTCAGTGGTGTCACAGAACAGGCAGTGCTGATACCTTGCACTGGATCAAGACTGTAGCCCAAGATTTCTGATAATTCAGTAGAGCACATTTTCTGTCTTCAGCTGGCTCTGGAGACAGTTCTTCCTTCTTACACATATATCAACAGTTCTCTTTGAGGAGCTGAGATACCCATGGTGGAATTGCCCTGCTGAGTGACTGTCATAGCTTACTGCATTATGTGATCATAATGTGATACAATAAACTGAACATAGCCTGTGAGTTACGTACTGGATTGGCTCCCAAGAGAAGGAACAAAAATTGTATTGCTAAATTACTATCAGACTGTCCAATGGCTGTCATGTCTTGTGTTTTATCACAAAACAGCATGTGTATCCCAGATGCAAAATAATCTGTGAATGTCCAAAAGTCTTCTGTTCAGTTTTTAAGTTTTTTAGTTTTCTGGCTCAGAGGCCATTCCATCTTGTCTGCAAAAGAAATCACACTAGCCCAAGTAATCATCTGTATCATACTCTACCGATTTACAAACCTGGTAAATGGGTATTACAACTTACAAAATCCGCATAAGTATAGAAGTAAGGAAGTACATTGTAAATTGCATGTTTGTAAAATTCATATTTTCATTATAAATCAGACTAATTTCTTAAGGGTTTTTTTTTAAAAAAAAAAAAAAAAAGAAACAGTTGCTGGTAAAGACATATTTTTGTAACTTTTGTAACTTTCATTTTTAGGTGATAAGGTTTTTTGGGGATTTGGGGTTTTTTAGCTTCAAATTGAAACAGTTTCTGTTTTCTTCAAAACTGAAAGATACAGAGAGAGGATGAGATACTTTTTATAGAGTATTTGCTTCTGAAAGAGTGAAACAACATTTCTTGACCTCAGGCCTACACTTCCCTTCCGTCAGGGCAGTAATGCTCTGCTTAGGGCACAGTTTCCCAAACTAAGCACACCCTTCTCCAAGGAGAAAGAAGAACTGTAAGAGATGAGCAGAAGTATGAAGGTGGCATCCCCAGGAGCCATGCTGAAGTGAATGGGGGAAGCAGCTGGGAGAAGGTGGCTGGGGCAGAGGCGGGGATGGAATAGTGGTGGGAAAGCTCAGGGGGTACAGCTGTTTATTCGCCCAAGCCCCTGTTAAAATGATCACCAAGCGCTGAACTCCTTCTACAGGCACTGAATTTAGATCAAAGTTAGCATAAGATGTCTGTCCCGTGATTAAATGTACCAGAAAAATGGAAATGAAGAGGGAGTGAAATGTGTACATCCCTCCATGCCAGTGCTGTGGTATGGATGAAATACTGTGTAGAATGTGAGTACTAAGTATTCATTTTTACTTTCTGAATTAACATAAGTTTATACCAGATCTCATCATCCACTGTAGCGGCATTATGAAAATAATAGCCTGCTATACACAACCACCTGTGATTTCCAGCTCACTTAATGCCATTTCTCAAACTCTGTTTATTTTGGCTAGAGGATATGAAACTGCTGCGGAATTAAGGGAGAAGGGACAAAAAGCACTTGGGAAATCTGTTTTGGAGTTAAGAGGGCTCATTTTATTGCAGCCAAACTGAGTTAGGGAACCCAGCTAAAAGAATGATGCTGGGGCAGCGATGGAGACTGAGTAATGTGGGGAAAGCTCAGACACACAGTGCAGAGAGGAGAAGCAGGGTGTTAGCCATAGTAACAGTTAAGAGACTCATCTTTGAAATGGTGAAATGATGTACAACCTATCTGACACCCTAGACAATATATTTTTTGAACTGAAAAAAAATGCAATAGCATTTCACAATATACCATTATGATTCAAACATCTTGCCTATGCCCTGGAATTCCCATGGCAGCAGTTCTGAAATGGTTAAGAACTACACAAAAATTAACAGAATTCAAATAGAACAACTAAGATGATGTTTTAAGAAAACCAGTTATGACTTCTTCTACAACTTAAAAAAACAATAGCCAACAGTCTAACGTAACACTTGTGATGATGAGTCAGTACAAAAGCAAAGTCTGTAATAAAGCCATAAACTGCAGCTTTCATCTGAAAGTATTACACAGATGTCAGTAGGGAAACAATTGACCATGTAATGTCCCTGCAGGAGATTAATTTTGTAATAAGAGACAAGAATACTTTCATTTTAAAATTGCAATAGCCAACGATGTCATATTTTCTCATCAATTCAAACAATATTCTCAACAGGCGATTACTCTTCCTTGTGGTCAGAACTTACAGGCAGATGTCTACCAGCCGATCCAGTTCAGGACAGCTGCATTCATACATTTCCTTGCAGCTGATATAGCTCTGGTTCATTAATTCTCCCAGCAGCTGGAGTGCATTGGCAGGTGCTTCATTGCATATCTTCTTAAATTCCAGCACTCTGGCAGCTTCACTATACACATGCTTTGCACGCTGGTATAACTTAAAGATGGAAACTAAACAAAATGAAAATATTAAGTAGTACAGTTACCATTAATACTCACTAGAAAAGGAACATTAAAAACATAGCAGAATTATATTTTTTTTAGTCATTCACATTAGAACTCTCTAGGCTAAAAGTCTGCTGCAAAAGCTCACCTACATCTTCTTTAAAAGCCTTAATAAAAAGGTATTTAGAATTCATCAAAATAGAATGTACACTTTTTTTCACATTGATAACTTCATGCACATGCTCTGGTTATTTGCTGTGTCACTGAACAGACCCAGTCTCTGCTTTTACTTTGTAGATGCAAACCACACGTTCAAGAGTTAGCAGTGACATGCATCAGGACGTTAATCTAAAGCTTTAATGTTTTCAAATAGCAGCAAAACTCAGTCATGAGAACACCGGAAAGGTGCCCAGTGCCCCGCAGGCCGCTGTCAGCCAGCATGTGCTGGCCCAGGACGCTATGTGTGACTGCTCCAGGCCAGATCCGCATCAGTTATGTAACTGTGCGGATGGACCTTTTCTTGGAAAACAAAAAAAAAACACCATGCCACAAAAAAATGATTTTTTTTTTTTTTTGAAACTATGATTAACAAAAATGCTATTATCCATATTTCCTGGTGCATAGGTAAGGAAGCTGCAGGCTCACCCTGACTGTAAATAATAATAGATTAAAGGTACAGTGAAGGGCACAGGTGCTTTCAGTTTGGTTTTCAGGGTTTATTTTTGGTGTGTGTTACCAGCCAGAGTGTCAGTGCTGCCTGTGTAGATATGAAAAGCTGTCAAGATCAGACAGATACCGCTTAATATTGACCTATTAAGATCAAAGGCCAGTGCAAGGATTTTGGCTAAAATTTTTCTATTGTGCCATGAAAAAGCAGTTCCTCTGAGAAGGGAGGGGAGGGTGCCCAAACCTGCACGGCCATCAGGGTAGAGAACTCCACCAAGCCTGAACAGTGGGGCATAAAAACAAAGGGATGGCTGTGGTTAAAGGCTGTTCAAGCTACTCCTGTTTACAGGAGGATTTGGTGTGCAACTAATATCCAAGAATTGATCTGACTTTCCCAAGCTACTGTAGTTCATTGTTTTTCTCTCCCAATATAGTTCTGTTTGCTTTAATGCCATGGCTGCCATTGAGGAAGTACTGTTCACCAGTAGCATGTGTGACATAAATTACATTATGATTAAATTGGTTTACTTGAGCGGTTTAGGTGGTAAATATTAGCTAAGTGGACTTTATTCTCTATGTGGAGCACCTATTGCAGTATGTTTCCTTATTTCATCACAAGTCAAGCATTTTCTTGCTAGAGAACCTCTGAACATCCCTCATTTCTTTCTACAAGTAAATTCTCCTTTAGAGCAAGGTCTCTCTCCTCATTTCAGTTTCTGGTCTCTCTTACTTTCTAAAACGGCTGATGAAACACTCAAATAGAGGTAAAAGAAGACAGACAAGCCCTGTATTCAAAACAGAACTCACTATCTGACCCAGACACATGCAGTTCCTATGTGGCTGTTCCATGGAGACAGACCAGTTCTGGAACCACTTCTAATGATTTCAGCAATCTACATTTGCAAGTATATACAGAAATCTTCCTTGAAAGACTGGAAATAAAATTGTGACCAGTATTAAGTCTCTTGTATGTATACTCTAGACTGCAACCCTTACAGACTAATACTTCATCACCTGTATCCTTTTTATTTCTCCAGAGTAAATCACAACTGTAAATGCTGAAAATACAGTGCTGAGAGAGACACAAGTAGTCTAAAATGATAGAGAAACACTGAACATAGCAATGTTCTGCTACTGGTGATGTTGCTTCTGGTGGTATTTATTTTGTAATTCAATACAGCCTGCTACTGAGAAGCCCTCTCTTGCTGTCTTTTGAACAGGCCTTCTGAATGCATTTCAAACTAGGACAGAAATGAGAAAATTGAGTGCCCCCCAGAAACATCATCTTAAGAGTATCACACAAGAAGAGCATATTTTGATTTCCCATTTAGAAGTGTGCTTTACCCCACTGGATTTTGTTGTTGCTGGAGTTACTTGCACTGTGTTTTGCAGAGCAATGCCTCAGTATTTTTAAATGTTGAAGAAAGGCAGCTTGGCCTATTTTTAAGGATGGTTTCTCTTTAAATACTTTTTTCTTATAAGCCATTGTTTTAGAGCAAGGAGATTTCTAAATGTGCATTCGTTTAGGGAATATCTAAAGTTGCGTGAGAGATTGCCATAGCTCACACTCTCTTGTAAATCACCATTGAACAGTAGTAACCCAAAGAATGAACTGAAAACATGTCTGGTTTCAATTGTAAGGCAACAGACTTGCCAAAGGCTGTGATTGATTCGGAGACCACCCTTTGGTAGAGCAATGCTCTACTGGCCAGATTACCTTAAAAATCTCTGGGGTTGTTGTGCTCGTCATGTTATGAATTGGCAACCAGAATGGGCGCTCCAGCTACTGGCTGCCAGCCAGAAGATCCGAGCTGCGTCCTTGACAGCATTCACTCCCCGGAGAGCTGCTCTGCGTAGGGGAGAATTTGCTACCTTGACACTGGCGCTCTCGATGTGAAAACAGTCTTTTCAGGCAGTTCTTAAGTGAGAGAGAGCGGCTGTAAGTTATTTTCAGGCTCCTTGGTGGACATTCACCAAATTACTATCGGTTAAAGTTTGGTATCATTATGTTAGCTATTGGTTGGTTATGGGCAGCACTTTATTTCAGAAAATTACTTTTGTGTTTAAAAAAATTTTTTTATAGCTTGATCTTCCTCTCTTGCAGTGTACTGTTCAGGTACAATTGTCTTCAGGACAGCAAACACCTCTGTACTCTGTAAGTGCCATTCTAAAATAATTAAATGATTCACGTGTTTTCAGCTTTCAACACCAAATGCCTCTGGTAATAGAGAAACTCTCTTGCTTCTCTTCCATCTGGATAGGTAGTCCAACTAACCATCTCCATATAATAAAAGACAGGAGAGCACACCTATTACCAAAAATTACATCTATATTAGAATCTCCTTGCTATATCACAGTCTGTATATTAGTTCCACGTAAATAAAATATGAATTAAGAGGATATGCCAGAGAGCTATGAAGGCTGTGATTTTAGAAGAGTGCAGAAACTGATCAAAATCTGCATGCTTCATGTGACCACATTTTTTACAATTAAAAGGGACTAATTTCCTAAGTCATGCTCTGTCATGGTTAAAGGAAAGTAAAACGAAGTGGACACAACTGATTAGCTTATATCTGAGCTAGGGCTGGAGTGCTCTGAAAGAGGAAAAACTGAAGCCCTTAATGCAAACCTTCCAGTGTTGCATGGAACTGGGTTATACGGTCTCACCCTCTGCAGTGTTCAAAGGAGAGCAAAAAAGGCAGGATTTAGGGAACTAATGCCAGATTCTTAAAAGCAGGTGGATCCTTAAATCTATTACATCATACAGAAATTAGGTTTTAATCTGACAGAAAATGTAAATGTACTTTCCTAATCCAGTAAACTATAGAGGCCTGGTTTCTCCTGCTTAAATTTATTTCCAAATTAAGGGTATAGGTACCCTCAGCTCCATCTTCTGTCAGTGAAAAGGGCAGGTTAGAGAACTGTTTATCCCACCCAAGAGCCAGATTGCCCTATGGTACCTATTTCTCTGATGAGTAGAAAGGAACCTTAAACCCCTGGTGCAATGAAACTAACTGGCTGACATAAGAGTAATTGTCTAGGTCATGTCTAAAGTAATGATGCTTCCATAAGGGGATCTGTGCAATATCCAGTTCAGTTGCTCTGCTTTTTTAAAATGACATAGCGCCATTCAGACTGGTGATTTGTATTGGCTGAGGATCTGGTCTTTGACCAGACTCATGCTATCAAAAACTGTTCTTTGAAAATCATTACACATTTCCCCTCTGCCACATTCTGTGTAGCTCACTGCCATGGAGGAATGAACTGTTTGATTTTAGACCGAGACACACTTGCACAATCAGAATCTCAGGGTGTCTTTTGTCTCTTTCTGAAAAGACAGTATGGAGATTGTCATTTATTTTGTATGGTATCAGCTGCACACAGAAAAAGTTTCTTGTGGACTCAAGTGAGGGTGAGAGATACCTTTTATGAATTGAAACAAATACAGATCAGAAGAAATTAAAGTAAACCTGAAAAGTCAAAATGAGACCAAAGGAAACTTTAAGGAGGAATCCTGTACCTGGGTCTGCTCTTAGTGACATTGTGTCACTAAGTTTTTAACACGTTTCAGCTGTATTCAGCCTGCTACTGGAGCAGCTATTCCACCTTCTAGGTCCTAGCCTCACTAACTGTGCTTCTGAAGTTTCAAAGAGGACACAAGGAATCTTCTACAAGGAACCTCTTCTACTATTAACTGCTTTGTATTACCAGTCCTTACCTATTTTTCAGAGAATTCAGCAACTCTTGCAGACCCTTTGTGGTTTCTCTGCACCCTAGCTTTGCCCCTCTGGAGAGGATTTCTGTAATGTCATCCATGAACAGGTAGATTCAATTCACTTACAAACCACCAAATGCCCTTGAAAGAAATGGTGACATTTTCCAGTGCACTAATAGCTCACACTGCAGCAAGAACCTTCCAAGTTGCTAAGACACAACAGACAAACATTAATGAAAGTTTGTCCAAAATCCATATAAAATCTCTTAAAAACAAACAAAAATCCTGGGCTATTAGTCCCAACTAACTGTGGGTTAATTAAATATAACAAGAGAAGTTTACTGTGGGTTTTCAACTATATGGTCATATTTTTAATTTTAGCTTTACCAAAATTGTGCAAACCTGTCCACTCCATTTACAGTGATTTTTTTTTTTTCTCTATAATTAAGCATTGTGGCTTCTCAGCAACTCATATTATTTGCTACAACTTCCAACTTCAGCAGATTCCTTTCTTTAGAGGCTTCCTGTACAATTCTATCTGACCTTTAGCTAAAGACCAACCTCTTCAGGCTATATATTTTTTTTCTAGTTGCTTTGGCAGCTTCTTAAGATGTGTTTCACTGTAGATTAATGAGCTACACATGGCTGATGGGACTGTTAGAAATTTACAACAGGAAAAACTCACCGATGCAAAAATCATGTAGGGGACAGTTTCTACCACCATTACTCATGTGGAATAGTACCCTTCTCTGTTAGGCATCCTGCTGATTGAACATGATGAGGGTGAAGGTTTCTGGCTCATAATGTATATAAGAAAATGCTGCCAGATGGCTTTAATTTGAGCCAGATTGTGAACCCCCTACTCGAAGTGGGGAACAGTTACTCTACTGGGACTGCTCAAGTAACTGTTTGCAATCTGGCTTTCTGAAAATAAACCAGGGGACGAGTCATTGCTGGATTCAGTGACCCACTTAGCAGACACCTGCTTTGAGATTATGATAACTACTGGTTTAAAGTGACTTTTCCTCCAGAGGAATGCTAGCTTTAACAAGGCTTTTGCAACAAACCTAGACCATTCAGTGCCTGTGCCTAACCTGTGGCACACCTCAAGGGCCTGGATCCTCCAGGTAGCTGTTTGGGATCTGCCTGGAGCAGCCACGCTTCTAAGGCTTAGCCCAAGTAAACCGTGTTTTTGTGAAAGGGGTTGGTACGTTCCCAAATTTCTCCATGACGTGGATCAGGCTGAGGCTGCGGTAGGCACCTAGACCCTCAGGCTGGGAAGTGCTCTTAGGTCTGCCTGTTTGGAGGTAAATTCTGTTCATGTAAGACAGGGGCACATGACATAGCTTTATGTGTCCCCTGGCAGCCTGACAGAACATCTGAAAGTCCACCTTCACGTATGTCTGTCTGTGCAAATCAAACTGAAACTGTTCTTCCACTGAGATCACCATTAATACAAATTATTTGGCAGTGGGAATGAAAAGCTATTCAAACACCACTCATTGAAGCTACAGCACAGATTTAGAATTCTCTTTCCAGGGGACAAATAGGAGGGCAGTTAAACAGCCAAATTCACACAGCAAATGTATGCCTGCTCCTCCCACAACGATTTAATTCCCAGGTTTAAATGTCAAAATTAGATTATGATTTTATACACGAAAAGGAAAAATGGATTTAAAAATACCTCATTTAAGAAGAAAAAGAAACATTTCATGGTTAAAGGAATACACTGTTGTACAGGAAAATATCCTTTTGTGGTGAAGCTTATAAATACCTAATGTCCCACAATCACCACACACTAAATGTTCTGTAAAGCACTCAATTCCAAGCCAAAATTATGGCACAGTGCACCTTAGAAAGTAATAAATATTATTTTTCTAGAGATGTTCAGAAGCCACAAGTGCAATCCGTGTGTAAACATTTGCAAGGGAGATTTAAACTCAGGATTTTGAGTTGGCCAAGGGACAACTGCGAGAAGTTTAGAGAGGCTTTATATACCATCTGTACTTCTCCAAACCTGGGGAGCAAGTGGGCTGTATAGTGGGGAACTGCAGAAATCCTTGAGTACCTACCTATAAAAGAGATGCAAAGATACCCTAAATGCTATGGGTCTTTCTTCATGTTGAACAAAGAAGTTCATCAATATTCTGAAATTCTCTGCAGAGATTACTTATTTGTTGGTATGTTTTCTCTCACATGAAGAAAGTAGTTATTGTCATTAAAATATAGTGGGAAAGTAGAGGGGAAATAAGAAAAATATTTTTCTCAAAGAGCCTCTGGTTTTCCAAAGCCAACATAAAATGTAATTTGTTTAGTGTGTAACAAAAACAAACAGCGGATTTATATTCCTTCTTTCTGTGTCTGTCTTGTTTCTTCTTTGCATATAGTTTTACAGAAATCTGTTATTTAATTTTATATTGGACATGCAAAGAGGCTTTCAGCATAGCCCATTTTAATTAGCCTTATCAAATGAAATCATGGTCATGCAAGTTTAAGAGATTCTGTTCAGCAAACATCTGCAAATGCTATTCAGAGCCACAGTATAAAATTTCCTTTGAGTTTCTTCTATAGCTTTTATGTTTAAATTTTTTATCTAGACTTTGTTTTTTGAAGAAAATTAAAATAACCTGTATAAACAATTCAACTTTACAGAACTGTAGAATTTTGTTTTATAACCAGGTATAAGGAGTAGAAATGTGTATATTAATAGTCTTGTACTGCTTCATGAAGGGGAGAGTAACAGGACAGCGTAAATGATTTACAACCTTGTAATTTCCCATGAAAATGTTGCAGGTACAAAGTTCAGTATATTCCTCATGTACATACAGCACAGAGTTATCATAACTCTTTCTATATAGATAAAGAGCTGGATTAAGACATATTCCATCCTGGTACCCTCTGGCAGTGCAATTAGACAATAAGATAGTTTCATATTCTCAGATACCACTGGGGTGCAAATAGATTCAGGACCTGGTCCTTGGTCAATATATAACATTTACAGTCATTCCAGATATACAGTTCATTTAAATATAACCATCAGTATGTGACTGATTTATCTACATCAAATATATATAACCCTGAAAGCAGTCTTGGGAAGGACTGGCAAGGATATAATTCAGCTACAAAACAGTAGAGGTATTAAGGCTGCAGAATGGAAACAAGGAAGTAAGGATGATCTTAATTGGAAACCTGTTATGAATGCAAATTAATTATTTCATAAATGCTCTATTATTCAGTATTATTAGCAACCCTAATATATGCATGCAGGATCCATTCCATGTGTGCCAGTGCTCATGACTGCATGGTATAATCATAAGCAGTGATACATGGGAGATACTTTAAATAGTAAATTATTCACCTCCAACATTTCCCTAAAAGAAAAAAAAAAATGGATAGTGACAGAAACTTCTTTCTCAGGAGAGCCTAGATGACTTGCTGCTCAGTGCATGTTTTATGAAGTGATCATGGATTTATCACTTCAAAAACGGAAACAAGCCCATCTATGATGGTCTTTAACACCAGTTATGGGAAAGCAAACAAGATTAATTTTAATGATGCTATAACTATCCAAAATGTTTGGTTTTGTTAGAGCTGTTGCCTAAAAAGGAAGCCTAGTTTAGTCTTTTCCCTAGAAGAAAACCTGGGTTATTTAGACATGACTCCCAAACAACATAGGCTAATCTAAAACAGTAAGTGATCTGCTATTTCTACCATTTTAGAAACATTTCAATCAAAATTAAAGTTTTGCTCCATTTTAAGTTAAGAGTTAGAATGAAAATTTGATACCAATTCTATCACTTGCCACCCAAGATTCTGGGTAAGTATCCTGGCAAGACTTCCACTTGCACTACTTATTAACACATACATTTTTTATATAATATAAACATTGTACACTAAACCCCACCATTTCATATATGCTTACCATCTTGCGTGTTTTGACTAAGGATCTGAGAGCGGAGCTCCTCCAGGCTAATTCCCAGGCATTTACAAATTTCCTCTGTGCTGTAAGGCTCAGGATGTAATACCTCCTCGATGATGGTCAGCATTTCCTCTAGGCTAACTCCTAGCTTGGTTTGCACATCATGGAGTCTCAACATTCTTTTCCAGTCCAAGCCTTTTGACTTTGAGAGAAGCTAAAATTAAAAAAAATAATAAAAAAAAATTGTGCCTTCCAGTTTAAAACTATTTAATTGTCCATAAGCACCCTTAAGACCCACTTACTCTTTTCACTTCTTAACTGGGAACCATCAGAAGCTACCTCCTATCAGTACACAGCAGCTAACAATTATATTTATATATAAAAGGTCAGTGAATGACAGATATTCTTCCCTTATATCAGATATTGTCTGTAAAAGCCTTACTGGCATTACTTGTGAGATATGAGATCAGTGATTTATCCTTTTCTATGGATGTTGTTACTTCAAGCACTTATTAACCTTTTACAATCACATTCAGACAATTGTTTATACAAATGTTATGATATAACAACACTAGAAGTCCCTAAGAAGTCTGTTTCTATACTGTTAGAATTTGCTCCAACATTTAAAACTCAGTTTGACCTTTCTAATATGCTCCTGGAGTTTTCTGATGAACATCTGTCATTAAAACCCTTTCTCATAATAGCCTTAACAATATGAAAGTGCACGTAAGATTTGTGTGGGAGAATTAACCATATATTTTCTCAATCTCTAGAGTTTATTTTAAGCATGTTCTTTTAACATCCAATGTAAAGGAAGTTTTGAGCCTTACAGGAAGGTTATGATGTGTTAGTCAGAATCTGCTCCATTCCTACGTAGAACATCCTATGATGTTAATTAGTTATAGATGTATCTATTTTTCCCACTCCAGACACGCTTTGTGTATCTTTGTGATGTTCTGGCAATTGACTGTAGATATGTCAACACACCAGAATGCTAAAAGGAAATAGGTCAAAGAGGCTTTTCTTGGGAAGGTTGCTTCATGTGTAGATGCTCTCATGTGCCTAATGAAAATGGTTGAGTAAAGCAGCTTTCCTCATAAGGTGGAATATTTTTAATGCTATGCATTATAGAATAATATTAAGTGGTTTTTGTGGGATCCTGGTGACATAGCATTTTTAATGTCAACAGATTACTACAGAGTAAAACACAGATTAGCAAATACATGCCAATGTCATTTTACTGTATTCATAAGCACATAACATACCTCCAGTTCTACACCATTTAAAAAGAGATTAAAGTTTCCAAGTATGCCAGATCAGGCTGTATGTTTGCAGAGAGTTTAAACCAGTGCAGCAAGACCAGAGAATGAAATCCTTTTCCTATTCAAATCAGCATTAAAACCTCTCATCAACAGGGCCAAGATTTCACCCAGTGTGTTATGTTATTCTTTTCTATAAACACTGTTTTTGAGTGAGATTGGCTTGAAATAATTTATATCAAAATTCAGCAAAGCTATTTACCTTCCTGGGTTAAAAAAATCAAGGGATATATATATGTGTCTGAAAAGTATTTGCTCTGATTTGTGCAAAGTTACAGCATGAAATTTAAGCAGAAGATCTGCTGCCCAACTATCTCCTATGGATTCTCACCCTCCTGCTCTCCTCCAACAGTGCTTTTGCAGGGGCTATTCCATTTTTGCTTTAGTAAAATTAACTACTTTTGGTGCCATCTAGTGACTTGCTAAGATTTATGTGAGGCTTTGTAGAACAGAACAAACAAAATTAAATTAAAATCCCAATCATATGACTCTGTTGCCATCTAAAACACTGTTTTATATGTTCAGTGGTAAAGAAGCAGCACTGTCTAGTGGCTAATGCAGAAATAAGGGTGACAAAAATTTTCTTGTAAAAGCCTGATTAAGTCGCTTCTGGCCTGCTTTTCAAAGACTGAGTAGCTAGAACTTCACATCTTTTATGTAATTGTATTTTAGCTTACTTATTTTGTTAGAGTAACAACTATTGTTTCATTTGTTTTACTTAAATACTCAGTATCTCTTACATTGGTGCATGTTCGTGAGGTTCTTAAATCTGCTTCAGTGTGCTAAACAAATGGAATTTTTTTTCCTCATACGTTAATCCTAATGTTCAGCATCCCCTCGGCGTTATTACCAGAAGTTAACTAGAACTAAGAATTTACCAAAAAAAATGTTTTGTAAGGCAACAAAATTTTTTCTACTCCCTTTTAAAATAAATAATCCCCTGTAGAAATGCCATGTGTATTGTCACATCTGTTCCCATTTCTATACTTCAAGGGAGATGCTGTATTTTAGATGAGTTAACTATACTCGGGTTTTACAGGTCAAATGTTCCAAATGGAAACTGACCCCATCAGGCCAGTGGGCAAGGCTATGTTGGAAAGGTCTATGCTGCTTATAGCAAAGATTCAACTCTGACAGCACTGGGAAAAACGTTCTGGGCAAACATAAATGGTTTTTGAAAACAGTCTAGCTGCAGCAGCTCAAATTATAATGGATGCAGAACAGAAATGGGAAAAAATCCCATCTAATGTACAAGAGTAATCCCAATACTGATCCCACAGTTAGATATTTTCTTGATGAACTCTGACTAGATGGATTAAAGATGTGGACATCGTGCAGCTGGCTCTTAACTGCCAGGATATAGCAAATGTAGGCTTTATTGTGCTTTATTGTTCAACACAGGCACACTGGAGAACTGTAAATAACTGAGATGAAAACATACTTAGTAAATGATGGGACAAATATAAATAAAAGAAACTGTAACTAGGAGTGCGTATAAGAATACTTAGCACTTACATAGCAACATTACTTTCTTACACTTTACATTTTTATAATGTCATCTGAGCATCTTTCCACACTTAACAAACGTTAGTTGATTAACTATATGGCATTCCAGTTGCAGACATTCTTGGCACTACTCTATAGCTGACAGTGAAGCAAACCACACACAATGAAGCAGGGGAGAGCACACCACTCACTAATGCGCGTATTTCTCCGGCAGCACCTACTGTGGGAGTTTTCTGAAGTATAAAGTACAAGCCAATTTCCTTTGGAATTGTGAGTGTTTTGCAGAACATAAGCATCTTTAAACATACTGGTTAACAGAGTACAGGAAAGCACTCAGAGACTATAAGAATAGAGAAAGACAAAAAATAACAAGAAAAATAATGACTGTCCAGAAGGGAAGCGGAAGGAACAGAACCTGAGAAAGATAATTTTGTGAGGATGATCAGGAGCTCACTTGCTGTAGGACAGACTGACATCAAAATGTTCTACACTAATGCCAGCAGAGATATATTGTGTTGGCATCTTTACTTACAGGGAGCTTTCTGCAAAGGGTATGAAATGCTATAATGACCTAAAGCGGAAAGGGGAAGAAAAAGCCTGTCCTAAGGCACTTACCAATGAGAATTTCTTTTAAAGCATTATTGCGAGGCCCAACATGTTATTTCATAGTTCCATTAGCTTAATGGTGCTTAAAAGACTTCCCTGCTTCCACTTACATACCTGCTCTCCATCACCCCACTGTGACCTGTTCCTAAAGACAGTCTTTTCCTGGCTCAACGTATTTTTATAGTGTGTGCAACTTTCCATCTGGGTAGCATATGTTTGAAATTAGACAGGTGTATGTTGTTAGTCTCCTTAGAATCTGCTAAAGGTACCTTTTTAGAGATTGCATCGTAGCTAACAGGAATGTAAAAAAAATTGTCCTTCCTTGCCACCTACCCAGTTTACTGCAAAGGACCAATAACTTAAAGCAATTTAGAAAACTGTGATTCAATTCACAAGACCTGGTATATGGAACAATACCTCAAAAGGCCTTACCACATAATGCACTCGTTGTAGTTTGCCTTTTAGAATACATCATCTGTGAAGGCTGTTTCTTATGCAAACAACATTTCTAAAAGAAGCTCTTCCTAAAATACATACTCAGTCAATTAACTATCCTAAATTAGAGGATTATCAGTTATACCAGAACCAACAGACAGGTCCTTATCTTGGTTTTCTTAATGACTTAAGAATCTTTTTATTAATTTCAGTAACAACAGCTTTAACTATGGTCATTGGTACTATTATTTATATCATCTCTTTTATACAACTAAAATGCACCTATGTTCTTTATATTTGAGTTTAAAGCCCATTTAAAAAGTCATCTGAAGTTTAGTTTACCTCCTCAAAAAAATATCTCAACACAGTATTTTATATTGTATTTTGCCAGTACCTGATCATATCTTCAAATATATTTTTTAACCATTAATTATGGTAATTTTTCATAGAATTCTAATGCCAACAGATGCACAAAGTACTTTTAAGTATTGCCCAGGTTTTGGCCAAATGTTTTCTAGCAGGGAGTTAGACACTGCAGTTTTTCAAACGTTCATCTAGACTTTGTGACCCAAATTCTGTTCTTTCACACGGCACACTATGTTGGGTATAACTGCAGTGAATCTTTATGCTTATTCCTCACTTAATCTAATCAAACAAAAATCCACTGTAGTCCTGTAATAGACTCAAATCAAACCGTACATTTACATATTCCTAAATGTAGGGTCTACAAAACCCAGTATTAAAGTGAAACTTAGATTTTTCATGTTCAAATTCCATACATTTTAGAGATAATTGCAAGCTGTAAACTGGCAGCACAGCCTAAATGTTGGGGTTTGATTCAAGCCTGGTTTTAAACTTTACACTGACATACATGCTGCTATTCCAATATTACTTCCAGGCCTTCAATGAGTAGCTTTGATGTCCTCTAAATCCTAGAAAATACACATCTATTGCCCTATATACATACAAACATGTGACCACACTGGTTGCTTTCCATTATTTGTCATTATTCAGCTTTAATTAGAAACAGTCTATCTTATTAACTGAGAATACTTTTTGCTGAAAAATAGACTTATTTCCTCCATTGAAATATAATCCAAAATAAATTGAATAGAACTAAATCGCATAAACTTCTATATAAGGGCACAGTCCTTGCATTTCCATTAAACTCTGCAGGAGTTCTGTTTCTGCAGAGATGGAGGTGTCTGGTTCTGGAAAGAAAAATGCTACTTAAAGTAGCACCTAGCCAGGTGTTAAAGACCCAACTGGTCAGCAGTAGAAAAAAGCACATATTTAGATGAAGGTTTCATTAAGAGTTTGACATAAGCCATACGTTACCTTTGTAGCCAGACGACACTCCATTACCCTAATATTGTAATGAGAAGTTGCTGCTTTATTCATTTCAACACAACTGTTAGCAATAACAAACGCTGCTCCACTTGGAAGTCTAACATCAGTTGCCCTCAGAGGGCTGAACTCTATCAACTTGGCCTATTGAAAGAAAAATGAATGGTTAGTTTTAATTTACTACTAGCTAACAGTGCACTTAGTTCTATAAATCAAATGCAAATTTGCATGTTTTTTCTCTTGAAAATCCAAGGACAGTTAATGAAAGAAAACTGACATGAAACAGTGAGAAAAGAGGTTTAACCTCATTGGCCAAGTTACACATACATTACAAACCTTTCCCTTGTAGCTGGATTTTAAAATGTTTCCATTAAGTCTTTGGGCTTTTTCAGCATTTCACAGAACCCCACCCAACCTATTTTTCTTGCCTGTTTAAGACAACAGTTTTTCTTTGATCTACAGAAAAGTACCAGACCTGGCTGAAGCTAATGTGCGTGCCACTAGAAATAAGGGGCTTCACATTCCCTTCACCAGTGTGCATCTCCCCTTTTGTTTTCTGATTTTCCCCTATCTCAAGATTAGTTCACTGAGGTACAGAATAGTACCAAAACTTTGGGACTGACTGGAGACAGCGATCATGTTACATACAGACAATCAAACACAGAAGTGAAATAATACTGTATGTAAAAATATAGTTACTGTCTCATCCCTTCTGACATAAGAGACTGCCTTGCCTCATAGATGCCTTACACAGGCTGCATAAGATGTTCCCAACAGTTGTGACCTTTTCATGGAATAAGCTAGGCATCCATTAATTAAATAATTCAGGATGTAATGTAATCAAGAGATTAAATTCACATCTGGTTTTTCATTGGGATAAGCTGTAAATCATGTGCCCTGCTTTGGCTTCTTAGAATAGACTGTAACTCTGCAAGCAGGGACGTCTTACTGGTTTTGGCATTGTTCACCCCCAGAGAGTTCCATGAGCAGCTAGAGTGCTAAATAAACAATGACAAATCTGCTTGTACATTATGTACAGCATGTGTGTTACTCCCTGCCATTGAGATTCTGGACCACGTCACAAAATTACTATCGAGACAGACAAGCTTGCTTACATTTAAATATACCCTTTAAGAACTGCTACATTTGATCAGATTTTACCACTGAGCTGGTCCAGTGTCCTGTTTCTGACAGTAGCCATAAATGGATATTTAGGGGGAATATAAAAATAGGACATATACAAAGCAATCTTCTTTTCAGATATATTTTTCCAGCTTCCCATGAGCAAAGATTACAGCGGTTGTACTTACACTGGAAGAAACATCAGACTATTATGTTTAATAGCTACAAATAGGCTAATACTCTATCATTGTATCCAAGACAGTCTTTTCTGAACCTTTTTTAAACTTTTGCCTTCCACAATGTACGGTATTTCTCAATTTAACAATGAATGTTTTGGAAAAAAAAAAAAAAAAACAACAAACTTCCTTGTTTGTTTTTAACAAGCTTCTTGCTGATGTCATTGTGTTTCTATTAGTTCTTTGGTCATGAAAAACACTTAATTCTCAATTTAACTTCTCTTACTTGTTCTGAGGTTTTACAGAGCTTCAAAGTAGCACCCTCAAACATACTTGTTTTACAAGCTGAAAAGTTTTAAAATATTCAGTCAATGCTCATATAAAAAAATGGCTTCGATCAACCTCAGTGTCTTCTACTGTACTTTTCTCTTTCTAGTATATTTTTTTGAGATGGGAGGCCAGAATTGCCTTCAACTGCAAGTGCACTGAAGCAAGGATATTTTTTGTTTTGCTCACAATTTCTTTTCTAGTATTTTCTAACATTTTCTTTGCCTTTTTGATCACCACCTCTACATGTCAGAAAAGCCTCCGCTTATATAATTATCTGTGTGTATGCCAGGAAAATATGCTGCTTCCTTGAACATTCATGTAGCTGTGTGTTTACTACTAACAGTATGAAGTGTGAAAGAAAGGTGTAGAGTAGGTACAGGTGATGTGAAATTGTAAATACTTCTGTCTCGTGATGCAATTAAGCATTTGGTGTAATTATAGGAAATAGCTTATTTTCTGTATAAGCTCATCCACAGTATGGCAGTAAGGGACAGGAGCTGTAGAGATATAATACCACAATTACAAGGAAAGTAAAGGTTGTCATGAAACACTACACTAATTTCAATAAAAATATTTTGACAGGTTTTAGGTTGGAACAGTTGCAGTCCTGTGCACCTTCTGGGACAGTGGATGAACTCCACTGTAAATTCTGCTGCAAGCATTCATGCATAACTTGGCAGGCCCTGTTTATCATTGCTAGTCCACCTTCTGTCACCACGTTTAGGACAGCTAAATGCCTTCTACATCAGAATCCAGCCACAGAATTGTCTGGAATTAGCAAAACTGGGGGAAAAAAGTCTCCATTGTCTTTGTAACTGGACCTGGCAAAACTTCCTAGAACTGTTTGGTTATAAGAAGTTTCAAGAAAGCATTTTTGCAATAATTATCCCATTTGCACTGAATACAAGGCATACCGACTGTTCAGATTTCATTATACGGGAAACATTCTAAGTTCAGCACCGAATTAGCCAAATAGTGTGGAACCCGTTCCTCTTCTAGAGTACATCTTTCCCCACATCTTCTCTTTCCTACTTCTTGTAATTTCTCATTTCCATCATATTATTCCTTCAAACTTGACATACTCGATTGTACACAGGCTTATACATATAATTCCTGTTTCATTTGCATAGCGATGGTGCTTATACTGCTTACTAAGGTATTCCAGTTTCTTGCCTTTCTGCTAGACACATGTAAAGATACTTTTTGTTTACATAAATTAATATTACATTGTTAGTTTAGATTACAAAAGATCCACATACAGTTCCTTCTTCTGCCAAGAAAGAGATTGACTGGTCCATTCCGCCACCTTCTGTGCCAATATAACGTTCACTCTTTGCGCAAATCTCTGCAAGTTCCACCTGAAAAAAACACTAACACGTGAACCTTCAGCCAAGGTTAAAGATGATACTTTTATACTGCTTATGTATGATCTAGTGAGAAAACAAAGGGGATAATGATAGAGCTCTGCAACCATTGTCTCTGACACATCAAGTAGTGTAAACTGCTATCAACCAGGATGCCACATGACCCCTTTTTTCTTTTGTTCTGAAGCAAAAAAGAATCAACTATTCAGCCTCCACTGCACCCACCATAGCCAGATGCTTTTCAGAGTATCTAGTATCTTTGTTTAGATGCTTAACTCTTGTAGCTATCCTCCTCCCACCTTCCTCATTCACTTCACACCCTTCCATCCCAATAGCCAGTATTTTGTTGATTTTTTAGTTGAATCTACCTGTATATGCATCTTGGTAGCTTACAGAAAAATGGCATGTTGTTACTTTATACTACTTTAATGCACTGACTCCATAATCAGAAATTATGTATTGAACCTAACTCAGAAACACTTTCTCACTGTAAATACTCTAATCAGTGGTGCTTGTCATTTCTCCTTGAGATCCTGTACTCTGCTTACATTGTTTACCTGAACTAATTCATAACTGTATGTGATTTGCATTCTTTAGTGACATTTTAGGCATATCTTTGACATTCTGATACCTGCAGGTTGAAGGATACTATGGGAAGGTGGTATATCACTATCATAACTGTCAAAAACAATAATTTACAGTAAAGCTTTCAGCCATCAGGCAAAGTCAAAACAAAAGAGAAGCCTTGGAGAACGGCCAAAGAACACAGTCTAATCAAAAAGAAGTCGGTCAAAAGGAAAGCACCTGTGTCCACCTATTATGACCCCTACCAGTTTGTTTTTCTAAGCGCAAGGTAACAACAGGGAAGATGAGAAAAGGACTTTAGAAAAGCCACAGTCCATTTTTCAGTTTGGTGGCAGTCAGATTCCACAAGAAGGATGCAGCATCACAGGACTGAAACAAGCTAACTAGCAAGGCAGGAACATTAGCCAGCACACAGCTGTAAAAAGCAGCAGGCAGAGGCAGTAAATCACCATGCTAAGAGAGAGGTATGTGCAGGGTGCCTGCCTGCTTGCTCACTCAATTTCTGTAAGGCACCACAGACAAAGCTGTTGCTTAGATCAGTATAATCAGGCTGAACTGTTTGCAAATGCACCAACAACCAATTTAGTCAGCTCACAATGCAGTTATGGCCAATAAGCCTTAGGCTGATAAGCAGAAGTTATCAAAAGAACATTAACAAAGTTACTATAAAACTATGCAGACTGGATCTCTTTGAATCAAATGTGGTAAATGACCACTCACAAGAAAAAGACCATTAATGACAGAACAGAAAATACAACCAGCAAAAACACTCTCCTTTTCTACACTGCCTTTCCCTTGTGTATTTTAAAAATGAGCTGAAATAGAGAGAATGCTGCTTTTATTTTTCTTGAGAAAGTACAGGAACATCACACACTTTGGTGTTCTTCCTTTTTAACAAAAGCTCAGTGCCTGACTTTTGCTGAAGATCAGGTTCATCAAAATTTGTTTTTCCTCCCTTGTCCCACATCCACTCCAAGCGGCCCCATTTCCAGTTTGAACTTTAGAGCTCTTCATCCTATCAATGAAAGTTTAACATCCAGTCACCATGTGTCCCTCCACTACAAGTTGGAAATAATTCTGAATGAAATGCTCATGAATGTAATGATGCTTTTTTTTTTTTTTTCTCCCCATTTAATGCTCAAATACTCAGCAACAGCTCCAATGAAAAGAAAGAACAAACCTTCACACGCAGCAGTCTCTAGATGCTCGCTCCTTTCTGTATGTGAAGGCGTGCCTATTTACAAACATCTGTTGCTGGGATGTGGAAATGCCAGCATGTTTCAGCCTGTTCTGCTGAACCTGCCTTTTCCCCTCTGAGAACAGAGCAATACCACATCCTAGATTTTTGTAGCCACTGGCAGGAGACATCAGACCGGACTTCATGAATATTACTCACTGGCAGGAACAAACTCCTCCACACTGGCTGAGAAGACCATGCCAGCACACTGGTCATGCACACTTAAACAAGGGCTGTGGCTCCTGAGGTACTCACAATGCATATTCCATTCTTGGGCACAGCTGCCTGAGGTATTATTTCACCTGCAGTTGCCAGATAAAGCTTTGCAAAATCAGAAATTAAGCATTTCACCCTTCACTTAGTCTGGCTGCATTTCATCTCCATATACACATCAGCTACCACTTGACTGCTTAAATCGTTTAGACTTTATGAGCCTGGGCTTATTAAATAAATATCAGGAGAAGTCTTGCAGAGGAGGAATGTTAATAATTAGGGCAGTGCCACTCCCCTGTCCCTTTACATGGTCTGGTGAATTGTGCCTGGTTAAGCGTTGGGCCTTGCTTCGTCCCAGCTCACCAGCTGTCCAGCTGTGTATGCTGGGCTAACAGTGCTGTTTGAGCTTGAGCAACTTTTGTTTTGAAACTCAGCAAGGATTGGCAGGACCACCAAGTAGTAACTGGCAAGGGTTGAGAAGAAGCCTCTCCACAAGACAGCCCAAGGCATCCCTGAAACATTATTTGGTTTCTAATTTAAACAGGCCTTTGCTGACACAGGCTGGCCTTCTAATACTAGGATAAGAAGCATGTGAATGGAGAGGAAATCATAATCTGTATAGCAAACAGTTTCTACTTACTATTGAGACGAATGGGCAAATGTTTGCCATTTTGCTAAAACGAGTGGAAGGGCAAAGTTCAGAGGAACTGAATTGTAGCATTGGAAACTAATATGAAGACTAAACTGGAGAGCCTTCTGTACTTACTTGATACTTGGAAAAGGGTGGTCATATGACTGAAATAGTGATCCAAATGTCAGGAGATCTGGGCTCAATTTCTAACTCCACTTGTGATTTGGGGAAAGTCCCTTTAATTCATCATGGCTCCATTTCCTCAGTAAAATGAGGAGTATCTTCACCCTCTTTGTAATTAGTAATTGCTATTTGGGATTCTTAGATGATAATGCTATAAATATGTATGACTTCATTACTAGAAACTGAAAAGAACACATTTTGCTACACAAGTTCTCTGACTTTAGGTTTCCACAGAAAATACCTCTGGGGAAAAAAGTTGCTAGAACCATGTAATAAAAGGAAATAACTTTTGCCTATCTCAGACAAATGTCTTGTTTCCATTCAACCTGCAACACTCAGGAGCTCTTTAGGGCAGGGACTGTTTGAATCATCTGTTATTTATATCTCTCTGTAGAGTATGTCTCACCTGTAAAAATACAGAGCTTCTCAGATTCCAGATTTCACTGCACAATTTGGCAACATCTCAAATGTATGTATGAACAACACCTATGCAAGCATCACCTTCTTCCACCTGGCTGCACCGCAGTTCCTGCAGAGAAGTAATTCAGAGCATTCTCGCAGCCACACTTAGGGGGACCACAGCCCAGGCTACACTACAGCATCACCTGCCCGGCAGGTAGGTCAGAAGGGGCCAGCCACTCCGTAGTAGGGCTCAAAGTACAACTGTTATGCATATAAAACAAACAATGCCACCCCTATTGAGTTCTGCAGGAGTCCTAAACAGGCTTTCTTGTAGAGACAGGTGAAAGCAGACATTTGTTCTTCATGAAGCACCATGAGAAATATGCAGAAAGAATAAACCCCATCTGCACACTGGCTATATTTCCATCTCACGTATCCGTACAAGAGACCACTTCGAGCCAACCACAAAACACAACTACTTCTACACACCTAGGACTCATTAGCATGTTCTTTCCATTCCTAAAGCAGTATTGCAAAAACACTAATAAATCATAATTTAAATCTTCATAGAATTTTACATACTTTACTTTAAAAGCATTCCTATAAGGCTGCTGTTATCTTCAATTTAGAGACAGCACAGACATTTACATGATTTGTTCAAAGTCATGTGAATCAGTCACAAAGCTGAAATAAGAATTCAAAAACCTCCCTATTTCCAGTATTGTGGCTTATTTCTCTAAAGAATATGGTATTGGGGAAACTTTTGCAGGGTGGGTTTAAAATCTTTTTAATATGATAGTAATGAAAAGTGGAACAAAAAGATAGTAAAATCAAAGTAAAAATGGGTCTGACCAGTAGCATTATGACTCTAGAAAAAAATTAATCAGAGGAATTGAAGATTTCCTTATCCCAACTGTTCTATGATCCACATATGCTACCACCCTCTGAATTTCTGTATTATTGTTCCAGGAAGTTGTTCCAACAGGACTGACTAGACCAGGTCATCTTTTGTAAATAATAACTACCATGCGGACAGTAAGTCCTAAGCTGTCATCTATACTATTAAGCAAGCAAAGTTATATATTTAACATAGTAATTAAAAAAAGTAAAGCTCAAAAATCAGGAAATGCTTCCTTTGATCTTGTGTCCCCCCCCCAAAAAAAAACAAAAAACAAAAAACAAAACAAACCTAGCCAAGAAGGGAAGTGCATTAAGTGCATTATAATGCTAAGTATGGGGTTGTCAGCTAGCTAAAATTCATTAAAAGTCTTGGGTCAGAATAAAATTATAGAATATATTAACATAAAAGCAGCCTCTGTGGGTCAAACCAATGCCACCTCTAGTTCTGTATCTTGTACCTGAAAGTGGGCTCTTAGTATGGACCTAAGGCCAAGTATAGATACTTCGCCAGACATTATTTTTTGATAAAGAGATTCCTGAGCTGAATGTGAATTCTGCACATTTAAGTAACCAACAATGGATTTCTTATATATGATTTTGTCCAGACTCCCTTTTAACTCATTCAAAATTTTAACATGTAGAACATCCAGTAACAAGGAATTCTACAACTTGTCAGGTGAAGAACCATCTCCTTTTATTGATTATTAACATGTACCTGACTAGCTTCATTTAATACCATCTGGCTCTTATAATGTGAGAAGCAATGAACAGTTGATTCCTATGCACTCCATCAGTTACATTCATCATTTTATGGAACTCTATTGCTTCCTCCTTCAAGTGCCT